TCAAAGTACCAGTTTATGGTTTCGTTTATTTTCTGTATTGTTTTCATGTTATTTTATATATTACTGATTTTTGTTTTGTGTGTGTGTGTGTGTGTTATACTTTAGCAATGACCAATATGAATTTAAGAGAAAAAGAGATCAGTATCCTATCCTAAATTAAAACATCTTAGAGTAAAAAAAAAAAAAAAAAAATTTTAGAGTTGAAAGACTTCGTCATCTGATCAAAATATGTAGGAATTTCTATAACTGTTTCTGCCACCTTGGTTCTGTGCTATTCCTTAGGCCAGGGATTCTCACCCCTTTCTCTTGTATTATTTACTGTCATTACAGTATTCAACACTCCTGTAAAAAATACATTCATTTCAGAAAGCCTTCCATATGTATCCTTATCATAGTATTCTTTCTTCCATATACCACTAGTTTATTTTATATTGTAATATATATGTAATAATTAGCTCAAATACTTTTCAATGCTCTTTAATTCTGAATCCATTAAAAAATACTTTCTTCAGGCCACTATCATCTTATTTTTCTGCTTCTAACACAAACTTCCCTGTCTTCACTTCCTTTACCTCCCATTCATTTCTCAAATGACTGTATTCTTTATCACTATTTACTTAACTGCCCTTAATAAGTTCATTTCCTTTATATAACTCCCCAAATATCAAACCATATATATATGAGTAATTGCTTATCTTCTGGGATCTGTTTCAACTTGATCCTCTCTACCTACTCTGCTCTGTGATACACTGTTTCTTCTGGCTCCCTTTCACTGTCTGCCCATACATTTCTGACCATTCTTTCTCAGTTTCCTTCACGGATTCCCCTTCTCTGGTCTACCCCTTAAAGGTTATTCCCCACCACCCTATTTTTGACATGTTAAGATAAACATGTGAAGTGTGAAAATACACACCCAATTCATATTTTCCATTGTTCTCATCTTCTCTCATGTTCTCAACTACCATTTACAAGCTGCTGATTTGTAAATTTGTAACTCTAGTCCAGATTCTTTCTATAAGTCAGTTATTAATTCACATGCTGAGGGACATTTGAGTGATTTCTAGATCTTGTGTACTACAAATAAAGCAAAAATGATTTATGGACAAGTCTGTGTATAGACACTTATTTTACTGCCTGCTTGACTGCATATTTCTAACATAACCAACATTGAATTAATCATGTCTCATAAAACCAATTCCTTATATAAACTACATGTCACAGTCTATTGAATGACCAATAGAAAACCTGGTGTCAGACTTGACTGCATCTTTCATCTTATTCCACATGAGGATACAATGTTCTGAGGGTTTTTGATTTTTAAAATAGCTTTATTAAAGTATAACTGATAAATAACAAACTGCAGATATTTAAAGCATACAATTTGATCAGTTTGATGTTTCACCAACATACACTAGAAAATGAATATATACATTATCCTCTAAGTTTCCTTGTGCTTCATCATAGTTTTTCTCTCTGTGCCCTCCCTAACATCTCACCCCCCAGGCAACCACTGACCTGCTTTGTCACAATAATCTGCATTTTAAAAAATTTTATGTAAATGGAATAATACAGTATGTACTCTTTTTTGCCTGGCTTCTTTCATTCAGCATTATTTTTATATTTATCTGTGTTGTCAATAGTTTACTGTTTATTATTGAATAGTATTCCATGGTATGGATACATCACAGTTCATTCACCTGCTGCTGAACATCTGAACTGTTTTTAGTCCCTAGACATTACAAATAAAGTTGCTATGAATAATTGTGTACAAGTCTCGTATGGCTATTTTCATTTCTCTTAGGCAAATACTTAGGATAATATGGTAGGTATAGTTTTAGCTTGTTAATAAATGGCCATAGTATTTTCCATAGTGATAGCCACCAGCAATGTATGAAAGATCAAGCTCCTTCACTTCCTTGTCAACAGTTGAGTTAGTATTTTAAATTTTAGGCATTTAGGGGTCAGGGATTTAGCTCAGTGGTTCTACCTCCTGGCTTGCAAGCGCAAGGTCCTGAGTTTGATCCCTGGTACCCTAAAACAAAACAAAATACAAAAAAACAAGTGTCTTTGAGAGAAGACTTTCAAAATTTGATGAAGTCTGATCAATTTCTTATTTTGTGGATTTGTACTTTGGGTGTATATTCTTTCCAAGAATCCAGGAAATTCCTACTCAAATTAAGATGACAAAGGTTTTTAAATTATTTTTCTGCAAGAACTTATATTTTAGATTTTACATGTAGATCTTTGCATATTAATAGACAATTGTTCCAACATCCTTTTAAAAGGCTATTCTTTCTCCACAAAATGACCTTTATACTTCTCTTCAAAAATCACCTGTCCAGGGCCAGGGATTTAGCTCAGTGGTGCTACTGAGTCTGCCTCACAAGTGCCAGGTCCTGAGTTTGATCCCTGATATCAAAAAAAAAAAAAAAAAAATCACCTGTCCATGTACATGTGAGTCTATTTCTAACTGATTTTATTTTGTTTCATTGAGATATTTTTAAATCTTTTTTTTTTTTGGTTAAATTCTTTTATTGGTACATTTTAGGTATACAATAAGTTTACATTTATCATTGGGTATTTGTATCTGTACATGATTTTAAAGATTTTTAAAAATTTTTAAAGAGTTTTAAATCTTTGTACTAACAACATATTTAAAAATGTTTATGGGGCCGGGGATTTAGCTCAGTGGTTTCGCTGCCTGCTGTGCAAGCACAAGGACCCAAGTTCGATCCCCGGTACCAAAAA